GCCGACGCGCCCGAGGGGATGGAGAGCCGCGCCAGAGGCCCCAGCGCGGCCCGCGGTCCCCTGCCGGCCGGGCCTCGTTAGCCGCCGGGATTCTGCGTGGTTTCCACCGCCGAGGCCTGGTCTCCTGAGTCAGTGGCGTTGTGGCTCGGAAGAAATGGAAGAAAAGGAGCGATGTGACCGAGCCCGTTCGGTCCTGCCTTGAGGCCTGGTTGGCATTTTCGGAGAAGAAAATTCCGCCAGAAAATCCGTGGGGGGTCGGCAGGGGGCAGGGAGGGAGCTGGGAGAAAGGGAACATGGTCTTAGCTTTTCTATGATTTTTTAGAATTCTGCACTTTGACAGTGGTGGTGAAATAAACTCATCCAAAAGTTATTTTTTTATGGAGAAGAGAGAAGAGGGGGGTTTTTGTCCCTTTTGATTGCAGCCTTTTCTCCCGGTGACAAAGCATAATCATGGACCCCAGAGAATAAGGTGGACCTCAGGAATCCTGAAAAGACTTAGAGGCTTACATTCTTCCTCAGGCGGGAAGGGTGGGGTGTTTTCAGCCTCTCTGGAACCTAAAACGAAAAAACATGAGTTGCGTGCCATGGAAAGGAGACAAGGCCAAATCCGAGTCCTCGGAGCTGCCCCAGGCAGCACCCCCGCGAATCTACCATGAGAAGCAGCGCAGGGAGCTGTGTGCCCTGCACGCCCTCAATAACGTCTTCCAGGATGGCAATGCCTTCACTCGGGACACGCTGCAAGAGATTTTCCAGAGGTAGGGAACCCCTTCTCCTGGGCATCTGGATACTTTCTGCTATTTCTGCATTTCTGTGGGTGGGGCAGTGTCTCAGCCACGTAAACCTTCAAGCCAACAGGTTCTGCCTAGAAGCTGTTAGCAGGTAATAAGGCACAAATGAAAGGATGATAGTCGCCCCATTTATTGAGCTTAGTTGGGGCTAGGCACAGGGCCGGGAGCCTCATTTGTTTCTTCTCTAAGGGTCCCTTCAGCAGTCGCGTGGAACACATGTTGGTTCCCCTTTCCGGATGACAGGGCTCAGACAGTTCGGTAGTTTACTCAAGGTAAAGTAACGAGAAGAAGCGGGCTGGATCACTGCCGTTGGTCTCCGTGCTGTGTCTCACTGTGCTGTGCCCCCGAGGAGTTTATGGTCCACAAGGGTGAGGACACAGCCCCACCCTGTTGTCATAGGTGCTCAGCTCTGCCGGGAGGCAGGGTGCTGGCCTCCGCTTTTGATTCATCATTTCGTGTGGCCACCCCAACAGTCTCTCTTGCCACAGGCAGAAGGGTCAGTGGTTTACCCAGATAGCTCTGGAAGACCATTGGAGATGCCACTCCCCTTTCTGCTTCGTTCTGCGGGGCTTTTCTTAGCCACTTTGCCAAGTGCTACCTGACAGGTGGACATGTTGAGCTTCTTCGCCCTGGTTTGCTGTTACAAAATTCTTTCATTCGAGGGGTTTAGAGTTCTGCAGTGTCTGGATGTCACTGGGGGAATGTCTGCTGTCCATAGCAACTCTGGCAGCGAGCCTGTCTCATTACTCCAGCTCGAAAGCCTTAGGTCTGCCCAGTTCCCGGTGCAGAGGAGGCTCAGGAAGCTTGCAAGGGTTGTGTTTTGGCAATTCCAGAAGATCCTTTTCTGACTCTTCGGTAGGAGTTTGCCCCTTGTTGACCTGAATTACAGCTAAAACAACCTCTCTGGAGTGATTGTAGAGTGTACTGTGGACTGTTTGCTCTGAAGGAACCAGAGGCCTTCTGTTAATGTTCATCCCTGTATGCTAAGGAGAGTACTTCCAGTGCCAGCGACAGCTGTGGTAATGTTTTAGCAGGGCACTCATGTCACTTGCATCATGGTCATTATCTGGCAGGTAGAATGAGCTTGCCAGGGAATGGGCCTGAGAGGTAAGGTCATTTGGGTCAAATCTCCCAATCACCCTAAAGGAGAGTGAGGAGGCCAGTCCACTAGACGGCTTCCTTTTGCTTCTCCTAGTTAGATACTACAAGATACTAATTATTTCCTAATATCCATCTAGGGAGAAAGAATCCAGTGAGACCTGCGTTGCCATTTGCTTTGTCATGTGTAGCCAGTGGTGACAGGAGACTGGGATTCCGTTTAACAGTGTAGCAGTTTCACACACAGCTGTGGAGTCAGGATTCAGTGTCTATTCGTAAGATTTTCCCTTCTGTAGCAAAGTGCTGTTCTCTGCCTTTTCCCTTTGCAAACTTACTCCTTATTCCTCACACCGACATGAGGCAGGTTCTGTTATTTCCCGTTTTTCCAGATGGAGAAGTCATGGCCCAGCCATCACAGGGTTCTCTGCACAGCAGGGCTTGGACACAGCTTTGCCACTGCAGGACCACCCTCTGGGTGCTTTCCCTGAGTGTGGGGAAGGGTCGTCAGAGCCCTCCACCGTCAGCAGCTGTGCACCCCGCCTTAAGAGCAGGGCTGAAGATGTGATCGCTGATCAGGTGTTCATGGATAATGAGATTTTTAGCTGTGCTCCCGCTGAATGAAAGAATGCTGAGTATTTGCTGAATATTCACAGGGGACCAGCGTTATACTCTGGCTTTTCAAGCTTTAGCGAGCGTCCCACACTTTCCAGTTCCCCATTGGCGCACTGTGAAGATCCACCCCAGAGTGACAGCAAATGTGTGTGTGAGAATAGATGTAGAATCCCCAGTCCAGAGGTGGAATTCTGTATTGAATATTCTGTGCAGAAAGATTCTGCGTGGATAATTAGACGCAAGAAAATGTGAAAGAGACCAGAAAAAAGCAAACGGGGTGAGGTGAGGGAGAGAACGTGGAATTTGTTAAACAAACATGTATTGGCTGCCTGCATGTGCCAGGCGCCACTGGCACTGGAGACAACAGCAGGCTCCCCTGCGAAGCCCTGCAGAGCTGTGCGCTGACAGGCCTAGAGGATGGATTCAAGAATTAAGTTAGAACCGTGGGGTTTGGAGCATTTTGAAAGGGATCTGTTTGGATCTTAAACAGAAGAAAGAATAATGTTGGTAGATTTAATTTTTTTTTTTTTTTTGCATACAAAAACTGGTGTAGGCCAGAGGTGTGAGTGAGAGGATTCCCTAGAGAGCGGGGAGCAGAACAGGCAGATCCACTGAGATCCACTGCTGCCGGGAGCAGCGGGCAGGCAGGAGAGGTACGCTGCGCCCTGGCCGACTCGAACTCAGACTTTTGCATTGATAAGGCCGAGACTTAACCCCTAGGCCACCAGGGAGGCCTTGTTGGCAGTTCTTACCTACTGAACTTTATATCTCCACACCTCAAGTTCGATACTGTTTTGAAGATGTGCTGATGGATGATAGAAGGGGGAGAACTTTTTGATTGTTGTCATTTGTTGAGAGGTAGTTAATACTAGCAGCTGAATTTTAGCCCGATAAAAGAAGGGAAATACAAAAGCAGGGTGGAGTTTCAGCACAATTGTGGACATGAGATGACTCATGTTTAGAATCAGAAATGAATAGGAAATTAAAATGAAGCTAAAGGGCCGGTGGCAGCAGCTCGGAGACGGGAAGAGTCAGGTGGGCCAGGCCCTGGCAGGGTTGCATGCAGTGGTGTGGTTTGTGACAGCAGACAGGCGCTGGTTGGAAAGGGATCAGTTTTCATCACACGAGATGGGAGAAAAGGCCCGAAAGTGGGGAGGTGTCAGTAGTGCTCATGTGAGTAGGTATGGGGGCTTCGCTCCCACTCTCCTGTCTGCTTTGAAGAAGGAGGGACATGATAGCAGCCTTGCTAGATTGTTTTGAAAATGCCCTGGCCCCAGACATTTCACTCAGCTCTTCTCAGTTGTTCAGTGACTAAATAACAGCTGGCATGCATGTTTTCCTCTCCTGAATAAGGCACCTGTCAAGTTCAAGTAGATGGAAACTCCCATGGTACCAGGGGAAAGCTAATGTAAGCCGAGACAAGCATAGAGATGACTGATAGGTGTAGTAGTAGTCTCGACCCGGGGGGATTATAGATTTGGGGGAACAGCCAGTATTCTCTACTCCACTTCCACCACCCCGAGCTGTGGGAGGAGCTGCCTTTAAAGGTCTGGTTCTTGTCAATCAAGGAAAGGTAGGTTGCACTCTAACCTCTGGAGAGCTAAGTGGTCTCTCCCAGAGCCCGGCAGGCACCCCATTCTTGTCCTACTGGCCCCACACCCCTGCAGAGCCTCCCTCCCCGTGAGCAGCGTTTTGTTGATAGCTTGAAGACACATCAGGAAGTGCTGAACCAGTTTTTTCTGAGGTGACATCTCTTTAGGCCTCGTAAAAAGAGAATAATTAGGGGCAAAAATGAATCTTGATGAGTGTCCCCAAATTTTCACTAAAGCCTGGACCCTGAGCACGGTAGTGTGAGCAGACCTGGCCTGTCTGCAGCCCAGGCTGAGCCGTGGTGCCAGCTGTCTCTTCGCATCTCGCGGCCCTCTGCTCGCGCTTTGGCAGCAGGCGAGCTGCACAGTGCGGCTCTGTTGGTGTCATCAGAGGGACGCTCTCCACTGGGACAGGACAGATTCAGGGTCGCCTTAGCTTTGCTGGTCTGCCGCTTAGGTGCCCAGTATGATGGCAAACACTTAACATTCGAGCCCCACGGCTTCTTCGGACTAGTATGGCCCGAGGTTGTTGGTTGGACTGTGGGAAAGCTCGCAAAAGCACCTGATAATTGTTAGGAGTAAAAGCAGGAGGCGCCTCCCAGGTGGCGCAGGGGTTAAGTCAGCTCTGCGAATCAGCCCCTGCAGTGCAGGTTCTGTCCCCGGCCAGGAAGTCACCCACAGGGCACAGCAGACCTCTCCTGTCTCCCCACTGTTCCCCTCAGCAGTGGATTTCAGTCAGTCTGCCTGTTCTGCTCCCCACTCTGTCCCTGGTGAATCCTCTCAGCCCCCTTACACCCCAGTTCTTATATGCATAAGTAAATAAATCTTTTTTTTTTTTTTTTTTTTTTAAAAAAAAGCAAGTTCCAATGCCCTGGGCACACTTAGTGGGTCCCACTTACTCCGAATACCCCTTCCCTGGGCTTGAGCTGGAAGCCCGTGTCAGCACCCCGTGTTGGCCAGCACGTGTTTGCTCAGTTGTCAGCCCCTCGCAGTGAAGGATGCAACTCCCTTGGATTCAGGAATTTCCTGTGGAGTTGAATATGTGTCAGGTAACTGAGCTCTTTGTTGTTCTGTGTGTAAGGCAGGGTTGTCCGGTTTTTACAGGCAAGCTGAGGGCAGGGAGGCTAACTCAGTATCGATGCTGGTTCATTGTGGCTTCCGCTGTGCGTGGTCCTCCTTATCACTCTTCTCTGCCACTCAGGAGCTAGGAAAGATACCATGGGACAGGTAGGATGCGAGGGTGAACGTGAAGCTTTAGGAAATAGGATAAAAGAGCCGAGGCCACAGGATCAGGCCGAGTCAGCCGCGAGCGCTGGCCAGCGGGGCCGTGGATTGCATTGGCAGTTCTTATGTAAGAGTGAGATGATACCTCAGTACACATGGGTTGATCTGATGGAAGGGCAGCTAGGAGACAGGGAGGTCAGTTTAGAAGCTGTTTTTTTTTTTTTTTCAAAGATTTATTGTTTTATGCATACATGAAGGGGTACACACCAGAGGTGGGTGGGGAGAGGCGTCACAAGAGACTGAGTGGGGAGCAGAACAGGCAGATTGAAATACACTGCAGGGTGGAGCAGTGGGCGGGACAGCAGAGGTCTGCTGCTCCATATGGGTCAGATCCCTGGCCAGGATTCAGACTCCTGTGGCAGTGGCTGCAGAGAGCTTCATAGTGCTGTGCTTTGACCTGTTGCGTCACTAGGGAAGGCCCTGGGAACCTGTGTTGAAGGTCTTGGTGTGAGGTTAAAGGGGCTAGCAGTTAGGGAAGACATAGTGGGCATAGATCAGAAAGAATTTGAACCTATGATTGAAGATGTAGCACTCGGGAAGATCCTGGGAGCCCTGCCCTTGCAAAGTGTGTTTCCCGAAAAGTGTGCTCGTGAGTGGGAACTGGAGCCGTCGGTGGGAATACGCCGGCTCTTCCAGAATCAAGGTGAAAGCTAGCATGTGGGGCCCCACGTGCTCTGCAGGAGCCTGCTGGCGTGTCAGCCTGAGATGCCTGGAACATGAGGGCCGCACTGCTCTAGGGCACTTTCATTTAACCCAAGTGCCTGAGAGCCCACGAGAACCCACTAAGCTCCACTCGAGCCCAGCCCGAAGGATGCCGCTGGCCTGTGTCAGCTGCCTGCCCCTACCCACTCTGATTCTTGGGTCCGCACCATAGCACAGCAGATGTGTCTCTGGATTCAAATGGAATCAGGTTTGAATACTACTTCTGTCACTTGCAAGGTAATGATCCTGGCCAGTCATTTTAAATCACTGAACTTTAGATTTCTGATTTTAGATCACTGATTCCTGATTTCAATTGATTCTTAATATAAAAAATGAACATTGGGCACTCCCTGGTGGCGCAGTGGGTTAAAGCTCAGCTACTTCTGTGCAAGTTCAATCCCCAGCCAGGGCACAGGGCACAACAGACCTCTCCTGTCTGGCTACTTCTCCCCTCGGCAGTGTGTTTCAGTCAGTCTCCCTGTTCTGCTCCCCACTCTGTCTCTGGTGAATCTTCTTACCGCCCCTGTACCTCTGGGCTGTATCCAAGTTCTGTGTGCATAGATTAATCAATCTTTAAAAAATAAAATAAAAAATGGATATTCAGGTATTTTACATATGTAAATATCTGGAGTGCCTTTAGGTGGGGTAGACTTCCGGATTTACTGCTACTCGTTAGGGTCTTAAATCTGGCTCTAATCCAGCTGGTCGTGACCCCGGGCTGGGCCGGGCCCATACGCCTTTGCCTGTTCAGTGATGAATGATGGCCTTTGTGCAGCCCGAGTAGAACGCGCTTTACTAAAAACGGACGGGAGCGAGCGGGCACTGACAGGTACTGTCCGTGTGAGCATAGGTGCGGTGTGCTTTTCCCGTGTTTCAAACAAGACTTAGTAGAAAGGCAGGAAGAAAACCGCTGCTGGGGAAATCACTGAGGCCCCTTCGTGAGCTGTCCCTACATCCACTGACGTTACCCTAGACGTGCTTTCTGAAGGGCGGGCAGGCCGGGAGGCCTGGCCACCACGGGGCTACTGTTTGTAACAATGCAGCCTTGGGGCAATAGGCGCCCAGACCACAGATGGCCTGGTGAACGCTGCTCACGATTTACTTGAGTGGACTGGGGCAGGGCTGGGGCAGTGGCAGGCCAGCAGCCTCAGCCGTCCTTCACCGCTTGTAGGTTGTCTCCAAACACCATGGTGACGCCTCACAAGAAGAGCATGCTGGGAAATGGGAACTACGATGTGAATGTCATCATGGCAGCACTTCAGACCAAAGGCTATGAAGCTGTTTGGTGGGACAAGCGCAGGTAATGGGACCCGGCACAGGTGACGGGGTTGCGCCCCAGCAGAAACTGAGGGCGGCCGCTGGAGCCTGACCCGCCTCCCCTCTGCAGGGACGTCGGTGCCATCGCTCTCCCTCACGTCATGGGCTTCATTATGAACCTGCCCTCCAGCCTGTGCTGGGGTCCGCTGAAGCTGCCTCTCAAGCGGCAGCACTGGATCTGTGTTCGAGAGGTGGGAGGTGCCTACTACAACCTTGACTCCAAGCTGAAGCTGCCCGAGTGGATTGGAGGGGAGAGCGAGCTCAGGTACCGGCGGGCGGGTGTGCCGGCTCCCCCCTCCCTCCTCCCTCCTCCCTATGTCTGTGTGTTGAGCTTGGCTTTGGTGATTTGACAAGGAACTGCAACGCCTGTTTCCTTGCTCCCCCCCCCCCCCCCCCCCCGTAGAGCCCTAAGGCCCCAGTCGGTTTGATGGCCCGTGAGGCCTTTAGCCCCCTTGATCGAGGACTCCCCCTCGCCCCCGCACTGGGTGCTGGCGTGGTCTGTGCTGCTCCACCTACACAGCTGTGCCAGTGGGGCTGCCAGTTCAGAAAGGACGGTGGTCTTTCGGGCCAAAAGAAGACACTTTTAAAAAGACAACTAGAAGCTCTTACTTGTGGCACTGTGGCTCGTGGTCCTCATAGCCAGCTGCTGTTGACAGTGGCATGAGGAGGAACAAAATCTCAGGTTGGCACTTTCAGCTGGGCTGATTGAGGGGGTGACTGAATCGGACACCTCCAGAAACATCACGACTGGACTGTTTCCAAGGGCGTAGATGACAAGGAACTGGCCAGTGTGGCCCCCAGACTGCGGCTTACAACTTCATTTTCTCTCATTTTTTTGTTCTCCATAGGAAATTCCTTAAACAACACCTGCGAGGAAAGAACTGTGAACTCCTGCTGGTGGTTCCAGAGGAGGTGGAAGCCCGTCAGAGTTGGAGGGCTGATGTGTAGCAAGGTTCCACCCAGCTCCCTCACCTCGCCCCTCAGCCCTCGTGATGTGCCGGGGCCTGTACAGTGGGCCTGCCCCTGCCCCTCCCCAGACATCTCACTGGGTTCCCCCAGATCTGACAGTGTGATAGGCAGATGTGTGGATTGCCACAAGAACCAGCCAGCATTACTGATCCCTGGGAAAGGCAGGCAGGAGCTCTGTGCACTGAGAATGAGCCGTGGAAGACCTGGGTTTAGGTTCAGAGGAGACAGGAAGATGGGTCCAGCTTACTTCCCCCTTTCCCGTGAGGACTTAACAGGCTGTGCCGAGTTCACCGCTGCTCTGACTCACCTGGAGATGCTGCCCCCACGCCCCCTTTCCTGGCCACCAGCGGGTCTGAAGACAGTACATGTAAAGCCTATGTGACCGACATGAAGGACCAAGAGCTTGAGGGCGCCTCTCAGGAACCATCTCTGATCCCCCACCGGGGAACGCAACCAACCCCAAGCCCAAGGCCAACCCGAACCCCCGGTTAAAGGGGGGTTAAGGCCAACCCTGGGAGTTTCACAATGAATAGTTCTCTAGTGGTCCATGCAGGTGGTTGGATCCTGGCCTGTTCCCAGCGTGACACGGGCTAGGTCCCCAAGAGGACGTGGCGGAAGCCAAATGGACAGGGCCGGCCCATCTGCCCTGCCTGGGCATGCCTGCTGCTTAGCTACACAGGAGCTAGGGGGCATGCGCCCAGCAGAGGGCCACCCCCTGGGGACCCCGTCTGGCAGAACCAGGAAGAGTCTGCCTTCCACAGCAAATCCCACTAGCTTGAGACGGATGGGGCGAGGCGAGCGACAGCCTTCTCGGAGACGAGGAGCGAGAGTGGCATGTCAGGCTGGGCGCCACTGCGGTGCCAAGCAGTAAGGTGCCCAGTTGGGTCTATGTGTGTTACTTCGGGTTCAGGGCCCTGGGCTGCCACCCTCCTAGTTATGTCACCAGAGAATCGACGGGGCCTCGGCACCCCTTTGAGTAGCAGGCCACTTTCTCGTGTTTTTGAAGACAAGATGGAGTGTCACACCGCTCCGCGTCGCTAAGGCAGGTGGGCAGACGGGACTGGCCTGTCTGTCCTTCAGGTCAGTGTCTCGGCAGGTTGCTGCCCCACTGGCCGGACTTCTCCAGCCACGGAGCCAGCCCAGGGCTTGCATGTCGAGCCCGAGCAGCGTCACGGCACGGCGCCGAGGCCCCCAGCGGCTGGAGTGCATGTTTACACCAGCACTTTCTGCACATGTATCTTTAACCCAACAAGGCCGATTTTCACGCTGAGTGGCGGAGGGCCCCGGTGGCTCCTGCGTTAGCCCTCAGCAGCTGGCTGCAGTCAGTCTCTGCACCGCTCTCTACACCAGACCTGCTTGGCGCCGCAGGGAAGCGCTGCCCTGCACAGTGACATTCCAGTCTCCACCAGCCAGGAGTCACGGTCGGCCTGCTGACGGCTGCGAGTGGGCCCACAGGCCCACGGGCACTGTCACAGATCGGAAGCCATTTCCCGGGAAGAGGAGGAAACTCCTCCCCACCATTTGCTTGGGCCTGTGCAAACGGCACCTCAGAGGTACCCACGCACTCGGAGTCCACGAGCTGAAGGGTACGTGAGGCCGCGTAGACATTTCAGGGCTGGTTTCTCTGTTCCATCCGACTCTGGTGCTTAGGAACAGGGACCCACTGTAAGAAGGGACAGGCCTGGTCCCGATGCCCAGTGTGCGGCAGCCCGAGGCTTGTTTCTCTTGCTTTTATTCCTTTTTGTTGGCCTTGTGCTGGGTTTGTTTACAAAAGATGTATTTTGTTTAACCAAATATTAAAAATGGAAACTGTACATAAATCTTGACTGCCTCGGTCATGTACTTACGTACCTATTGGGGAAAAGTAAACGAGTGCACTGCTGTGCGAGCTCATTGCTCTTGAGGCGTCTTGGCGGTTGTGGGCTTTGCTCAGGTCTCGCCTCAGAGCCAGCAAAGCACTCGGCAGCATCTGGGGCTTTTCAATTTAGTTTACGAAATCTAGGCTCGGGGATTTGAAGAGTCCACCCTCATCCAAACACAGGGCTCACCTGCGTTCAGTGCCGTGGTCAGCAGGTGGGTCCCAGATGTGGGGTGCGTCGGGCACAGGAGTCGGGCTGGGTTTCACTCCACAGCTGGCATTTCCTATGTGGCCTTGCCTGGATGAGCATCTCTGGCCTTCTCAGCAAACGGACTAGACAGCCTGGGCTGAAGGCTAAGTTCTGTCCCAACAAGCCCACATGAAGCCGCACGTAGGCGTAAGAGACAGCGTGGGACACCTAACCTAGCAGCACAGGTGAGGGTGGCGGGACACGCGCCAGCCTGCAGCTGGCCAGACTGCGCCCATGAAGCCTGCCTTAGGGCGGAGCCGAGCCGCGCGCAGTCTGAGGTCTGTAGGTTGTCTCCTGCTCACGCCTTCGCCTGGGTGAGGGGGGCTATGGACTGTGCCCCCTCCCAGCATTACTGTAGGATCCCACATCACACGGAAACATAGACGGTTCCCACGGAAGGTGCACGTCACCCCCCAAAAGCAAATTGGGGTTCTCTGCTATCTGGAGAAGTAACCAGAGAAGCTTCACCAGCACATGTGACTAAAAACTGAAACGGGCAACTGCAGAGCCAAGACAGCACAGCTGGAGGCGTCATCAGAGGCCCACCTCAGCCTAAAAGCCAAAAAAGCCCGTTCGCGACCTACTCTTCCCTGGCGGTACCAGTTCTGTCATGCCCTGTAAATCCTCATCTGTCATTACAGACAGTAGAAGCACATGGACACAACTCTGCTGCCAGATCTGAAAGTGATGGCCTGAATTCAAGGCCAGGGCTGCTATTAAACAAGACTTCTTAGGGGCACCAGTGCAGACAGCGGTGCTGACGCAGGTAAAAGGCAACTGAAGGCAGCGTGGTCTGCTGCTCCAGGATGGCCTAAGGCAGGTCAAAGTGTCGCAAAAGCACAAGGCCAATACTTTCAGCTGGAATCATTTTTAATATTTAAATACAAAAAGTGAGCACTGATTCTCCTAGGCACACACCCACGTCTGACTGCCAAAACACGCAGAGGAAACTGGAGTAACTGTCTGCTCCGCTCCGGCCCCCCACCACCCCCCGTCTCGTGGCTGGAGCCGTTTGCTGGTTCTCCCTCCTTCCCAAATACAAAGAATTCACAGTGGCTGCTTTGTACTAAGCTGTAGTGCCTTTTTGTATTTCAAGTGGCGTGCATGTCCTTCCACAACACCCCCACTTTTAAAAACAAAACAGCCATTAGTGGTGGGGCACACCCCAATGGCATCAGTCTACCCCACAATGGGAGAGCGAGAACTTCCCGTGAAGAGTAATTTAGAGAAGGGCGGGGTGATCAGAACTGGAGTAACCGTCTGCATCACTGCACTCTGGTGTCAGAGTGAGGACAGAATTATGTCAGGACAGTGGGGAGGGCACACTCGCAGGCTGGGAGTCTCTCCAGGAGACAACATGGGGACAAGTCTCCCCACTACATTTAGATAGCTCAACGTGTGACATTAAAAAAAAAAAAAATCCAAAGAAATCAGTTCAAACACTTGACTTCAAACTTCTCCCACCACGACAGGTCAAAATCAGCTGTGACGAACTAGATCTTTCCAGGAAGTGAAGGCAGAGCCCCTGGCATTCCTCCTGACAGCCCTGTGTTAGGCCCTAGAAGTATCTGGAAAAGAGAAGGATGGGTGTAAGGCACCGCGCAGGCCTTACTGTGTCGTCATCTCATCACACCCGATGGGGTGGACAAGGCCGACAAAAGCAGTGCTGAGGACAGGCAGGTCTCTGCGAGAATGGCTGGACTCCAATCTCTGCCCAGACGCTCTCTGCCGGCCTACCGACTGCCCCCAGGCAAGTCCCTCTGGTGTGGACTCTCTGGGTGCAGGCTCACCTGCCGCTGTTGCAGCTGCTGTTGCTGCTCCATTTGCAACTTCTCCGTCTCAAATACAACAGGAAGGACAAGAATCATGAAGGAAGTGGTCCCGATCCACAGGGCTGCCCGGGAAAACCTGCCGGAGTGTGAATATGACAGCAGGCCCGAAAAAGACAGCTCCCTCCAGAAGGAGCAGTATCACCTAAGCTCACACCGCTATCCCCAACGTTAGGTGCCTTCTACCCACCCTTGCCCCTTCCACCAGGAACAGGAGGGGCAGTTCTGGATTTAGCATTCTCCTAAGTTCTTACCGGAGCCACGGATCCGCCAATCACCGCAACGTGAAATGAGCTTCACAGCTGTGTCTGCCCCATTCCTTCCCCACCCTTTACAGTGAACCGAGGCCAAGAAAGATTAAGGCAGCACCCCTCCAAGGTCACGCCATCATCTAGGGGGCAGGCTGAGGTTCCGTGGCCATTCCGGGCACCAGTCACCCCAGATACGCCCCAGTGTCTTTGCCCTTGTTACTTACCTGTACATTTTTTGAGCCACAAAAACGGAGAGATCGAAGGTGGCGCCGGCCGCGGACCGGACCTTCTCGGGGAACATCTCCGTCAGCCCCCACAGTCTCTCCGACAGGGTCTCGTCGAGCTGCAGCAGAAGCGGCGCCGGTATTGGACGAAGCTGCGGCAGCCCGCGCCTCCCCACGCCGGATCCCGCGAGGCGCGCAGGGCTAGGACACCCCGGCCCAGCAGGGCCCTTACCCCGCCTCGGGAGAAGCCGCCTTCGCTGCGACCTCCCGGCTCCGCGACGCACCTTCACCCCGACCCGGCAGCACGCGGAGTCCGCATCCCCCGCCCCCCCCGCGCCCTCTCGCCCCTCGCCCCGCACCGCGAAGCCTGCTACCTCCTCGTCGTCGTCTTCTTCCAGCTCCTCCTCAGTCTTCTCGGCATCGCCTTTGGGGATCAACTCGTCTGGGGACAGGGGCGCCCCAGGCCCGGCGGCGGCGGCGGCAGCCATGACTGTAGATGGGGGCGCCGGAAGCGGAAAGGAGGCGGCCAGGGACGCCCTGCGGGGCAGAGCGGCACTTCCGGAGCGGGGGCTGGCGCACTGGGCGAGAGCGCCACCGTCTGGCCGGGAGGCCTTCCGCCGCCCGTGGGTGGACCGGGAGGTGCAAGACCGAGGCGCTCAGAGCTGAAGTATTGGGGGTAATATTGGGGAGGGGCAGCAAAGTGGCTTCTGCACTGCTGGGAATTAATTAGTTAATTTTTGGTCATTGATCAGGCTGCCTTTGTGAACTATGCTCCTGTTTTGCATAGATTGAGGCGGTTAAAGCGGCGAGCCCCGCTTAACTGTGAGGGTGGGAAGGGCAGGGCCAGTGAACCTTTTAAGAAATGCTAGAAGACAGCGGTTTTTGAGATCTGCCTCGTGTAGGGACACGCCATCAGTGGCTCCAGTGGACAGTAATACACAGGGCTAGTATCAAGATGCTTTAGAAAAAATTTAGCCATTTAAATGTTTATATTCACCAGAGAAATGCGTGATCGAAACGAATCCATTTAAGGCGAAAAGGGTTCTCGTGATGATTGTCAGATTACCAGCGGATCTAAAAAAAGACACCAAGCCCTGGGGACTCGGGCACCGTAGAGTCTCAGAAAAGGCAGCAGGAGAGAGGACAGGGCCGTGGACCCAGGACACCGAAAGGTCAGGGTGCTTGGTTAGAAGCCAAGCCTGCAGGCAGAAAGGTGGCCAGGGGCTGGGGCGGGCGCGACTAGTTAGTGCTCGTCAGGTGCAGAGGTCAGTCTCCGAGGGGGCGCTCACGGTGGCCAGGCGGCGCTGGCCAGCTGGGGGCGGGGCTGCGTGCCATCGGCCGCACCCGAAACACGCTTCAGATGAAAAACAGCCTCTACGACAAACAACTCTAGAAACTGTCAGGGGACGCAGGGGTGTCTGCACACCCCACTCTGAGGGCTCGGGGCCGCGCGGGAGAGGAGGGGCCCTGCCGGGGTGCAGCTCCCAGCGAGGCTGCGAGGATGCTGGATGCTGGTCAGCTGACACCGGGCCCGGAGTCGCCGTTGAAAGGGGACAAGGGGAGAAGGGAGGCTGCCACTGGGTGGGTGGGCACGGAGATGAGCCTGGCAGCGCGTGGCGGACGGGGCTCTGGAACCTTCTTAGCGCCTCCTAGTTCTCTCATCCCTCAGGTCCTGGATTAACAACCGCTCCCGTTTATCCTGTCGGAACTGGAAACTGGTAACGAGGCAGTTCTGAATTTGCACTGGCGAGGGGCATGGATGCCTTTGGGGATCTTAGGAACACCCTAAGCCGCTCCTGGGAGAAATGCCTTCTTCCTGTCGGCCCAGCTGTGCGCCCGAGACCCCCTTGCTCGGCCTTGGCTGTAAGGGGGCCTGGTTTTCATCTGTAATCCTGCTCCCCCACCCCACCCCCCACGAAACTCTCTCTCAGCTCTTGGGTGACAGTTCTTCCCTAACCCGACACCCAGTGCAGAAAGTCACTAAACTGCAGTAGCAGCTGCCAGAGATGCCGGGGTACAGCGCTCCTCCCCCAGGAGGAGGCCGTGACTTTCAGGGAGGCTTTTGCCCAGAACCAGCGGCTGTAAGCACTTGCTCGCCTGACATCCTTTCGTCCGAGTTCATCACGGCCGGTGCCACATCACTGTCTGAGGACCTGGTTTCGTGTCACGGAGTTTCCACTAAAGCCAGTTTCCGCACTGTGCCCCGAGAGACCTGGGCTGGGCTGTCAGCGCGTGAGGGCCGCCAGCGGGCGCCGGCATCAAGGCGCTGGCTCGGAAGCCCAGCCGCTTCTCCCGCTGCCGGAGCCCGGCCCTGTGTGCGGTGTCCTGCCCGCCCGTTACCCTCCCGTGTCGGGCGGGCGTGGGCGGTGGCCAGGGTGATGGCCTCTCCATCCCTGTGGAGCTGGTTATAAGCATGAACCCCTCGGGGCGCACAGCTGCCTCGGGGACCCTTCGCCCAGGCGCTAAGCCCAGGGCGCCTCCCCACCAACCCAGGCCGGTTCTGAGCCCCTGGAGTTTGGCCCCTCGCCTGCAAGTGGACACACAGCCCACGCTATGTGCTGGCCCTAGTGGCCGGCCCTTGGTTGTGGGGAGGCCTCTGGCTGAGGGGGGCTGGACCCTCCTCCGGCTCACACTGCAGGGAGCATGCACGGGGCCTCCCTCCCCGCCTGCATCCTGCCAGGTCCGAGCTGGGCCCAGTTCCCCTGAGAGGTGGGGGTAGGGGGGGCTTAGGCCCAGTTCCCTGGGTGGGGGGGCTTGGGCCGGGGCGTGGCTCTCTGGCCGACCTCTGCCAGGGCCCAGGAGGCGGGCACCCCCATGGTGATGCTTGCCCGTGAAGAGCTTCCATCTTTGGTTAGAGCCACAGTAGCCAGACCCCAGCTCGATTACTTCCTTCTTCAAGCACTGATGATTCTTTTTTCAGTCACCTGGACCACCGGGAGATTACATAACACCATTTAATTGAAAAAAAAAAAATAGTGTAAGTAGGAAGCAGCACAAAAATAGCGTTGCTGCAGAGGGGGGCACTCGTGGCTGGGAGGTGGGAGCCAGAGAGGCGAGGGCCGGGGGCCTGGAGAAGCAGTCGGGCAGAGGAGGGAGTGAGGGCCCGAGGGCTGAGACCCTGGAGGTCTTCAGCTGCGACCCAGGGCTCTGAACACCAGAGGCCCCCCAAATACCAGCATGGGGGCTCGGCTGATGAACTCTGGCTGCTTCTCCTGCCCGGGTCCCCTGACAGGGGTGAGAGCTCCCCAGGAGGCTGCCCTGTGGCCCCCAGCTCCCCAGCCAGCAGCTGGGGCACCTCCGACCCCTGTCCAGGCCTGGCCCCCGGTTTCCTCCACCACCTGTCGCCTGCCTGCTGTGACCTGGACGCCGCTGGTGCGCTCTCCCAGGGCCCAGCAACCCCTCGGTCATTTCCTGCTCCTCCGATCTGGGATGTCTCCCTGTTCTAACAGATGTCTCAGGGGTCTTCATTTCCTTCTCTGGATGATGCCCTTCAGCTCATCCAGTTCCTTCTCCATGAGGTGGGATTCAGCAGTGGCCTCGGAGAGCTGGAAGGAGAGCGGCAGACATGGTTGCAAAGCAGCTTCTGGCTTGCCGGGCCAGCCCCAGGGCCGAGGGAGGGCTGCTGGCGCTTCCCCCAGGGAAGCCTTTTGCCAGTGGGAGGAGCTTCTGCAGCCCAGGGCCCAGGGGGACACGCACGCGCCACTGGCCAGTGACACCTAGGATGGCAGGGCCCTGAGATGGGTACAGCGGCCCGGGTGCAAGCAACTCTCGCGGTTCTGAGGGCACAGGGCAGAGGCCAGCTCGCTGTCGTTCAGAGATGGCGGTTAAGGGGACAGGCATGAAAATGAAGGGCGCTTTTCTCCACGAGCACTCGGCGGACTTTGAGCCGAAGGCGGAAAACACCCAGGACCGGTACAGAGACCCGGCCCTGCAGTCACGGTCACGGCTCCTGGGCCTGAGCGGGCCTCTCCGCGGGCTCTGCTGACCTCGGGCGCCTTAGCTGGAGAGACTTCAGCCCACTGAGCATTTAGATAACGTGTCACACCGCCAGGACCCCAGGCCGGCGTCAGCCACACACACCCCGTCTAGCAGAACGCCAACCCAGGCTCCACCACCCCGCCACCAGGGTGCTGCCTGAGCCCCCTCGGGGAGACCGATGGGAGGGCCGCCAGGCTTTCGCCAGGTGAGGCCCAATAAACTCTTTTTCCTCCAAAGCTGGAGGCAGGGTTCTCCCACGTCTGTGCCCTCGGGGAGTGGCGCCGAGAGCGCCTCCATCCGCACCGCCACTCCTGCCTTCAACCCCCGCGCAGCCCAGTGCCTTCCTGACTGGGCAGCACGGAGCTCCCGCTTCTCCCCGGGCAGAAGCCAGGCCCTGTTCACCCCCCGGGGCTGGGCCTATAGCAGTGGGGTGGGCGCAGCAAGCCTGGCCCAGCATCAGAGGCCGCTGCCCTCACCATGTCCAGCAGGAGGTCCACTTTCAGGCGCAGCAGGTTGTTCTCCGCCTCCAGCTGCTGGGTGCGCCGCCGGAGGCGCTCTGCCTCCCTGGTGTCCACTCCGGCGCTGATCCCGGTCTCTGGGGAGAGCAGAGGCGCGGGGTGACCACGTGCCCCCCGGCCCCCATGGCCTCTGCAGGACGGCAGAGCTGCAGCTCACCTGCTGTCCACTGGCCGTTTTCGAACTTGAGGCTCTGTCCCGCCAGGTTCATAGTGGGGGTTCCGTAGTCCAGGCCCAGCTCCACCTCTCGCGTGGACCGATCCAGCTGTGGGAGACAGGGCTTGGGGGTTTGGGAGGCGCTGCGGGGCTGGCCTCGCACCTCTCCCAATAACTAGGTGGCCCTCACGACTCGCCTACTGCTGCTTCTTTAAAGTTTTAATTTATGCACACAAGAACTGGGGTACAGGCCAGAGGTGCGGGGTAGTGGTGAGAGGATTCACCAGAGACAGAGTGGGGAGCAGAACAGGCGGATGGACGAAATACACTGCTGAGGGGAGCAGTGGGGAGACAGGAGAGGTCTGCCGCACCCCTTGGGTCAGCTCCGGGGCGGGGATCAAGCTCGTGCTGCAGTGACTGCGGAGAGCTTCCTAGTACTTTACCCTGTTGTGCCCTCACCTAACGCTTCTTCTAAAAAGCCACCCACGTGGGCGAAGCACAGGCGTGGGCAGGCCAGGGAGGAGCGCCCAGCACTGCCATGAGGGGCCGGGCCCTCAGCCGCCGACGCTGACCAGATGCACCCGGCGCAGCGCGGGGTTTCCTCGGGCAACTGTCAGAGGAAGGCGCCAGCCGGCCAGCCCAGTCCACGTCAGAAACTAGCTGCCCTGCGCTCGGGCCGGGGGCGTGTCCCTGTGGCACGTGGGAGGGGCACGCAGGGGGCAGCCTCTGGGCGTGGGCGCAGGACCCGGGCGGCCCTGGCCAGGCACAACTGTCCGCCGCCACACGCAGGACCTTACTGGAGACAGGGAACAGTGGCCTCGAAGCCTCAGCCGTGACGCGTGCTGCCCCGGCCCGCTTCTGCGAGGGACTAACGGCAGGAGCCGCTGCCCTGCTCCCCGAGAGATCGGGGAGCCAGAGTCCGCGAGTTCCGTATGGGACACAGAACCGGGCCAGAGCCGGCGCTGGCGGAAAGGCAGGGCGTGGCCGTGAGAAGCCGCCTGGGTGTGTGCGCCCAGGGTGCGTGGGGAACAGGAGTAGCTCCGCGTGGCCTCTCTCCGTGGCTGGCTGCCTTTTCTAAGCTCACAGAGCTGCTCCGTTCCCGCGGGCAGTCACCTGCTGTCCTCTGCGCCCTGGCCACTGCGAACGTGTCCGGAACATCCTTTGAAAACGCCCTGGAGCCGGGGCAGGCCTGCGGTGGGGAGGAGGCTTCACGTCTGACTGTGAAGCAATGCCCACATTACTGGGACGCTCTCTGGCCAAGACTTGGGCAGACACAGAAGTGACCTAGGTAGTGCCGTTTGGAGCCCCAGACTCTGCGACCCGCCGTCTTGCTAGGCTCTTGGACAAGCTCTGAGAACAGCCTCAAACAGGGGTTCAGAGAGGTCTTCAGCAATAGCAACAAGGACTGAGAGACACCCTCCCTCTCTCCCTCCCTCCCGCCAGCCTCTGGGGGCCCCACCGTGCGCTGGACGGAGGCCTGGCCCTCCGCACCCCGAGCCCGGCCGGCCCCCACTCACGTTGTGCAGGTTGGACAGGGAAGCGGACTTCCGTGGGGGTGTCTTCTTTGGACTGAACGTGTTCCCGAAGAGAGGCATCTTTGGCCTGGTGGCGGAAAGGTCAGTGTTTCTTCCTCCTCCAGTCAGAAAACGACCAACAGCTGGGTCAGTGACTTTATGTCACTGTCCTCACACAGAAACCTACAGTTGATAAGGGCCGGTCACAGTCCTGCAGCAGCTACCGGGGCTGGGCGCTCTCTCCCCGGGGGACGCAGGCGCCTGGCCGGCGCTTCACTCTCCCACCGCCCTCCGCTGAGCGCCCCGATCGTGTCCGTGACAGATGAGGCTTACAAAGACTCAGCTCTTGAGTGAGCGCCTGTGTGGCTCTGGAGCGATGCGCCTCAGGGAAGTAAGTGCTGGCTGGCTTGTCTACAGCTCGTGGTACCAAGAGGCACCCAGCTTCCACCCAGGAAGGTACCCGTCTCCCTCCTGGGGGAGAGTCCCAGCTGGCGCACTGGCTGACTCCACCAACAGACGAAGCTATACTTCTAGTTCACGTTTAACGTATGATTCGCCCTCAGCTCGCAGGTTTCAGGCCACCTGTCTGCGTGGCAGGCGGTGTCTGGAGGAAGGGGGCGGCCCCAGCATGGCAGGCTGACGACCGCGACCAGACGCTGGATCTCAAAATACTGCAGCCTACTGCAGTGGACCAAGACCTGGCTGAGCATTTACTGACATCACCTGGTACGGAAGGGAGCAAGGTTTATGTGAAGGGTGACGTAACTCCAGGACAGTGTGCACATCCCGCCTGTACGGCTGCACAGCTTCTGCCACACGCGCCCGGGCATCAGGCCAGGACACAGGCCATCTCAGCGCCCCACAAGCCTCCTCGGGAACGGTCTACGAGTCCTCTTTTATGTCGGGAGGTCATGTTCGGGCGGTGCCCGCGGCTGGACGCGCAGCCCACCTGTGCACGGCACAGTGTCGCCACGACCCCGGGGGCGGTCAGTGTGCACTGCTCTTAGTCCGGGGCTGGCTGCTAGGGGCAGTGGGCCACGGGGGGCTCGGCCGTGCTGCTCTGCATCGACACCTATGGCTGGACGTGGCGAATCAGAGCATTTATACAGCCAGCTTCTGTGGATGCTGAGACTCGGCTTTCACGTGGCTGCATGATCTGCGCTTCTACCAGCGGCAGAGGAGAGACAGCGGTGACCACGGCGTGTCTGTGGCCACTTCACCCATCCTGGGAAGCTTGTGGTGGTCCTGCGGCGTCTGTTGTATTTGTTTTTCCCTCCAAATGTGTTGAATACCTTTCATACACTCATTGGGCATCTGGATACCCTCTTTTGTGACACACTTGTTCAAGTCTTCTGTTATTTTCCCGCTGATCTTGATTTCTTATCCATTTGTAAGGGTTCTTTACATGTGCTGGATACAAATCCTTGGTAGTACGTACTGAAGATATCTTTTCCTAATCTCAGATTTGCCTTTTTGCTTTCCTCTTAATTAAAGAAGTTATTAATTGTAGTAAAATCGATTTATCGTTTTTTATGATGAGTATTTTTGTGTCCTATTTAAGAAATTTTTGCCTAGGTCATGATATTTTCATGTGTTAACTTCTGGAAAGTTTATTGCTTTAGTTTTCATGGGAATAGACTTTTCTAAGTTTATTCTTAGTGTGTGGTGTGAGACAGGGGCCAGGATTCACTTCCTCCCATACACTGTAGTATCCAAGTTAAACTTATATTGCAAAACAAAAAACTTAGTATAAGTAGCTCAAAAAGGTTGCTTCTGAGCAACTGTAGACTGAAGAGAGGAAAGAAAGCGCAAGAGAGCACATGGAAAGAGTTAAGCTTTCGTTTTTTTCTACGTGCAGGTGTAAACGCTTCCTCCACTATCGTGAGCTAGACCTGACAGAAAGCTGGCCAGAGGAAAGGGACGTCTCAAGACTACTGGGAGCAAGAACCATCTCTGCTAACACTCAAAGATGACTCACAGTGTGAATCCGGATCACTTCGCAGGACCGATGTTCCGTGAGAACACAGAGAAAAACATCGGTGCTGTCCCCGTGATGCAGACGTCAGCATCACTGAAACAAACGCCCAGTGCTCAAACGCCCAGTGCTCAGGAGCACTTACGGAGGCTTCACAGCATGCAAGAGTGAGGAACGCGTAGATACGATTTGTAAGTAAACTAAATAAAGCTATTTGGGAGTGTGCACTCTTCAGATTTGCACAGGTAGATGTGTGCTGGCAGTTAAAGGCAGCAGCAAGCCAAAACCCCGGGGGCGGGCACTCGGGCCTGAGAACAACTTTAGGCTTTGGACGAACCAGAACGTTTCCACTGGGTGGAGGACGGGACAGGTGAGGACCACGGTGCTGAGGGTGTCTGAAGCTGAGCTACCAGGGCATCCAAGCACAGCAGAAGGTCCCGGTATTGTTTCTGCTGGAGAAGAGTAGAAGAGGGAAGACAATTACATTTACGTCTATAGCGAAGAAACCGTGAATGAAAAAGGAATATACAGGAGGAAAGATTTTAACTCAAAGAAAAGGGCGGAGTAGAAAAAGTAGTGCCACTTCCTGCACACCCACTGGTCGAGCCCAGCAGTGTGGGCAGGGAAAACCACCTGCTCCTTTTACTCCCTGCAGCACGCCGGTTAGGTAGGTAGCTCCCTGTCCCTGGCAGAAATGAGAAAACCAGGGCTGGGAGAAGTCACCTGCTATGCCAAGGGCCCCGGCCACAGGCAGCTGGCTGAACGGACGTATCACACTGCCCAGTGCGATGCAGCCAAGGGCTGCACCCCAAGCTGCACCCCCTCCTTGCAAGGTGCAATGACAGACCTTGCAATGCAAGGAAGGTTCTGGACTAGCTGCCTTTTAAGACAGATTCCAACAACCCACAAACAACCCCCGCTGAGATTCTGGGGTTCTGGGGCACTAGTGTGGTCTCGAGGTCCCCGCTGCCCCACTGGCCCCAGGGGTCATTCCTTCCAGTGGCGCTCCTGTTGTCCCGGAGGGGTCCCGCACAAAAGCACAAAAGTGCACCCCACGTGGGAGCCCCGCAGGCACCTGCCTTCTCTGTGCCTCAGACTTCTGTATTTGTAATGAGGGTTAAGCACAGCGCCCAAATCTGCAGTGTGAGTTTTAGTGTTTCCAGAGAGCTGGGCATTTAAAGCTCACAGCCACCGCTGGAAGCGGTCAGGTATGTCCCACATGGGCAGGTCAGGAGACTGAGGCTTAGAGACGTTGAGAAATTTGGCCCCACTGAGCCCGTGGGTAGGTGGTGGGACGCAGCTGCCCGGAGGGTCTGCTCTGCGCTGATGAGAACGCCCAGGTCGCCGCGCAGGGCTGGTTCCAGTAAGCAAGGGCCCTAACACCCACGACCTGAGACCTGACGTTAGTCCCAGGAGTCAGTCCCGGGAGGCGACGGGGGCGTCCGCAAGCATCAGCTTCTCAGTCCGCAAGCATCGCCGGGAGGTCAGCGGCCGGCCAGGTGCAGTCGCGCAGGGCGGCTGCGCTCATAACGGCTGTGAACAAACGCTCACTCGCAAGGGCCCGCAGCCACGCCGCGCCAGGACGAATCCGCACCCCGATTCACAAGC